TCTTGTTATTTAGAGGGATGTCTTGTTATTTAGAGGAATGTCTTGTTATTTAAAAGGGATGTCTTGTTATTTAGAGGGATGTCTTGTTATTTACTGGGATGTCTTGTTATTTAGAGGGATGTCTTGTTATTTAGAGAGATGTCTTGTTATTTAAAGGGATGTCTTAATATTTAGAGGGATGTCTTGTTATTTAGAGGGATGTCTTAATATTTAGAGGGATGTCTTGTTATTTGAAGGGATGTCTTAATATTTAGAGGGATGTCTTGTTATTTAGAGGGATGTCTTGTTATTTAGAGGGATGTCTTGTTATTTAGAGGGATGTCTTGTTTTTTAAAGGGTTGTCTTGTTATTTGGAGGGATGTCTTAATATTTAGAGGGATGTCTTGATATTTAGAGGGATGTCTTGTTTTTTAGAGAGATGTCTTGTTATTTAGAGGGTTTTTTTGTTTTTTAGAGGGTTGTCTTGTTATTTGGAGGGATGTCTTGTTATTTAGATTGATGTCTTAATATTTAGAGGGATGTCTTGTTTTTTAGAGGGATGTCTTGTTATTTAGAGGGATGTCTTGTTATTTAGAGGGATGTCTTGTTATTTAGAGGGATGTCTTGTTATTTGAAGGGATGTCTTAATATTTAGAGAGATGTCTTGTTATTTAGAGGGATGTCTTGTTATTTAGAGGGATGTCTTGTTATTTAGAGGGATGTCTTCATATTTGGAGGGATGTCTTGTTATTTAGAGGGATGTCTTGTTATTTAGAGGGATGTCTTAATATTTAGCGGAATGTCTAGTTTATTAGAGGGATGTCTTGTTATTTAGAGGGATGTCTTGTTATTTAGAGGGATGTCTAAATATTTGGAGGGATGTCTTGTTATTTAGAGGGATGTCTTAATATTTAGAGGGATGTCTTGTTTTTTAGTGGGATGTCTTGTTATTTAGAGGGATGTCTTGTTATTTGGAGAGATGTCTTTTTATTTAGAGGGATGTCTTGTTTTTTAGAGGGTTGTCTTGTTATTTGGAGGGATGTCTTGTTTTTTAGAGGGTTGTCTTGGTATTTAGAGGGATGTCTTGTTATTTAGAGGGATGTCTTGTTATTTAGAGGGATGTCTTCTTATTTGGAGGGAAGTCTTGTTTTTTGGAGGAATCCCTCTAAATAACAAGACATCCCTCTAAATAACAAGACATCCCTCTAATAAACTAGACATTCTGCTAAATATTAAGACATCCCTCTAAATAACAAGACATCCCTCCAAATACCAAGACATCCCTCTAAATATTAAGACATCCCTCCAAATAACAAGACATCCCTCTAAATAACAAGACATCCCTCTAAATATTAAGACATCCCTCCAAATAACAAGACATCCCTCTAAATATTAAGACATCCCTCTAAATAACAAGACATCCCTCTAAATATTAAGACATCCCTTTAAATAACAAGACATCTCTCTAAATAACAAGACATCCCTCTAAATAACAAGACATCCCACTAAATAACAAGACGTCCCTCTAAATAACAAGACATCCCTTTTAAATAACAAGACATTCCTCTAAATAACAAGACATCCCTCTAAATAACAAGACATCCCTCCAAATAAAAAGACATCCCTCTAAATAACAAGACATCCCTCCAAATAACAAGATATCCCTCTAAATAACAAGACATTCCTCCAAATAACAAGACTTCCCTCCAAATAAGAAGACATCCCTCTAAATAACAAGACATCCCTCTAAATAACAAGACATCCCTCTAAATACCAAGACAACCCTCTAAAAAACAAGACATCCCTCCAAATAACAAGACAACCCTCTAAAAAACAAGACATCCCTCTAAATAAAAAGACATCTCTCCAAATAACAAGACATCCCTCTAAATAACAAGACATACCACTAAAAAACAAGACATCCCTCTAAATATTAAGACATCCCTCTAAATAACAAGACATCCCTCCAAATATTAAGACATCCCTCTAAATAACAAGACATCCCTCTAAATAACAAGACATCCCTCTAATAAACTAGACATTCCGCTAAATATTAAGACATCCCTCTAAATAACAAGACATCCCTCTAAATAACAAGACATCCCTCCAAATATGAAGACATCCCTCTAAATAACAAGACATCCCTCTAAATAACAAGACATCCCTCTAAATAACAAGACATCTCTCTAAATATTAAGACATCCCTTCAAATAACAAGACATCCCTCTAAATAACAAGACATCCCTCTAAATAACAAGACATCCCTCTAAATAACAAGACATCCCTCTAAATAACAAGACATCCCTCTAAAAAACAAGACATCCCTCTACATATTAAGACATCAATCTAAATAACAAGACATCCCTCCAAATAACAAGACAACCCTCTAAAAAACAAAAAAACCCTCTAAATAACAAGACATCTCTCTAAAAAACAAGACATCCCTCTAAATATCAAGACATCCCTCTAAATAACAAGACATCCATCTATATAACAAGACATTCCTCTAAATATTAAGACATCCCTCTAAATAACAAGACATACCTGTAAATAACAAGACATCCCTCTAAATAACAAGACATCCCATCTAAATTACAACACAACCCTCTAAAAAACAAGACATCCCTCCAAATAACAAGACAACCCTCTAAAAAACAAGACATCCCTCTAAATAACAAGACATCCCTCTAAATAACAAGACATCCCTCTAATAAACTAGACATTCCGCTAAATATTAAGACATCCCTCTAAATAACAAGACATCCCTCTAAATACCAAGACATCCCTCTAAATATTAAGACATCCCTCCAAATAACAAGACAACCCTTTAAAAAACAAGACATCCCTCTAAATAACAAGACATCCCTCTAAATAACAAGACATCCCTCTAAATATTAAGACATCCCTTCAAATAACAAGACATCCCTCTAAATATTAAGACATCCCTCTAAATAACAAGACATCCCTCTAAATATTAAGACATCCCTTTAAATAACAAGACATCTCTCTAAATAACAAGACATCCCTCTAAATAACAAGACATCCCACTAAATAACAAGACATCCCTCTAAATAACAAGACATCCCTTTTAAATAACAAGACATTCCTCTAAATAACAAGACATCCCTCTAAATAACAAGACATCCCTCCAAATAAAAAGACATCCCTCTAAATAGCAAGACATCCCTCTAATAAACAAGACATTCCGCTAAATATTAAGACATCCCTCTAAATAACAAGACATCCCTCTAAATATTAAGACATCCCTTTAAATAACAAGACATCTCTCTAAATAACAAGACATACCTCTAAATAACAAGACATCCCACTAAATAACAAGACATCCCTCTAAATAACAAGACATCCCTTTTAAATAACAAGACATTCCTCTAAATAACAAGACATCCCTCTAAATAACAAGACATCCCTCCAAATAAAAAGACATCCCTCTAAATAGCAAGACATCCCTAGTAGTCATGGCAGCGATCTAGCAGAAATTTGACCTTGAGATGATCTAGGTGTACTCTCAGCTGATTAGTTGACCACAGCTGACCACGTGACGTCAGTAGGTGTTTGTATTTTGTGGATAAAAAGTGTTGGCCTGACCGGGTTTCGAACCCCGGTCTTTTTGTTGGTAGTTGGAGTCGTTACCATATGAGCCACAACAGTAGTTATGGGTATAGTGGTAAATGACACCTTATACAGGGTACCTATACCCTTGTACCTATACCTTGCATATACAGGGTGTGTATTGGAGGTTTGATTTTAATATGGTTCACGGGTTCGAATCTAACCTAATATCATTTCCGGTTATTTAATTCTAGCCTATGCTAGAGGTTCACGGGTTTAAATCTAACCTAATATAAAATATATCATTTCCGGTTATTTAATTCTAGCCTATGCTAGAGGTTCATGGGTTTGAATCTAACATAACATAAAATATATCATTTCCGGTTATTTAATTCTAGCCTATGCTAGAGGTTCACGGGTTTGAATCTAAAATAACATAAAAAAATATATCTTTTCCGGTTATCGGGTTCAATCCTAAACTATGCTAGAGGTTCACGGGTTTGAATCTAAAATAACATAAAAAAATATATCTTTTCCGGTTATTTAATCCTATCCTATGCTAGAGGTTCACGGGTTTGAATCTAACCTAACATAAAATATATCATTTCCGGTTATTTAATCCTAACCTAATGGTATTGTATTATAGTGGGAGGTTCACGGGTTCGAATCTAACCAACCACTAATGCTATTATAGTGGGAGAATCCTAACGCACAGCTGTTTATTTCAGTTGATCATGTGACTTAGTTTAGAGGTTCATAGGTTCAATCCTAGTAGGTCTGGAAAAAAACACTTTATATAGTGTATAACGCTTAAGCGGAGCTTTACCGTTGATCATAATTGGTAATTGTTGAATGTTATATTATATAGTGTATAATAAATGTGAAATAAACAGATGTTAAAAACAAAAAAGATGTTGTTAAACAAAAAAGAAGATTACAAAAATTCAATAATTTTCAAACTTATAAACCACCTAGAAGATCAATGTGGCAACAGCGCAGAGACTTGGCAACGTCGCAGTCCAAGAAGAGAAAGCTCTAACATTGTAAACTCACCCTATTCTCTGACCGAACCTCCCTACAAATACCTCTTCAAGCTAGTTGTTAGTTAAATAGTGATATATGTAGTGCTTCTGGTTGCGTATGCGTTTGCGCGCTAGGTTTTTTGACTTTACCGTAAATCGTCATCCGACCGAAAATGTAAATATTTGTAAATAGTGTTTGTGTTAAATAGTCTAATGTGATAAACTGTGTTTGTTAAAAACAGCTGAAAGAGGGTTAAACTTTACTATTGAGTATAAAAAATGGTTTTTGTAAAGGCTGTCAAATAGTAAATGAGTTATTCTGGGTTGTTTTTTTTTTGTATAGTTAACTGTTTGTCCAGAAGGTTTGATCTCTTGTATATGTAACATAACCTCACTTTTTACCTATTACTACTGGAGTGCTAGTGTTGATGCAGTAATGAATGTATAAATATATAAGATTTACTATAATGGATTATAACCATGTATTACTTGTACTATATACATCTTTTAAATGTTTTACTCTAAGCTGTTAGAGCTAACAAACTTTTTATCATGTAGCAGTGATTCTTACTATCTCGGTTGATTACGTGACCTCAAACCAACGCTTTGTTAATTAGTACCAACTGATTATATGACATTGGATTGTCCTCTACAGTTGTGTAGTTCATTATGTCTTCTGTGGTACAGCTTCTATTATGGGTAAGTATTAGAAGTAACTATTTATTAAAACTAATACTATTTTGAAATTTGTATTATAATACAAATGTATTAACAATACAGGGTTTTTGAGGTTAAATAAAAACAGTAGATTTTACTCAGAGAAATATATATTTAGCCTATCGGCTATAAATTTTCTGCAAAAGGGACATCTATATACCCTGTGCGCGCAATTAGGGCACAGGGTATGCCCACATGGTTGTAAAGCAACTGTGGGGGCATTCTCTAGGCAAATCTGACACGTTACCAAATTAATTGGGGGATTTGATGGTCGTGGAACTCGTTCTGATATCATAGTGTCTATTTGGCCGGTAGTCTGCCTCAATACACCTTCTAACGTGTTACGGAGGTCCTCCCATAGAGCTGATATAACTGCTGGCTGTAGTCCACAAGCATTTGAATAACCCTCTAATGTATTTCCGGCTAAGCTAGCTACAGCTAGGAGTTCGGTTCGTAGCGTAGCAATCCTACCAGCTGCAGCTGCAGGTAGGGTGAATTCCGGGTTATTCACAGCCTGAAAGATATTATACAAGAATTAATGTTTTTATCTATTTATATAAAATAGTATAAACCATGAATCAGCTGGTTAGTAAAATTTATTACAGTAGTATATAATAAATCTCTCAAGTTGGAGGTAAACAATAGTTAAATTTTGTGTGGAAAGTTTAGTGTAAACATATTAATTTATTTATACTTAATTTCTCTTTAAAGGATACCTACCCTTTGAAGTAACCTCCTGCGAAAGGTTTCAAGGCGAGCGCTCTGCCGGCAGCTGCGACATTCATGTGTTTCAGGTATAGTTGAAGTAGAATTCTGAAAATAGAAACATATATATTAAGCTGATTTTTATTTACTTCGATATATAGTTGATTTATCATCAAGGTAATATTATATTTGGATCACTCATTTAATAGTTAATCTGTATCATATAAAACTGGGGTAGCTTTCTCTTCTAATTTAAATTTATTGTTGAAGGAATAAAAATAACTGAATAAACCTCTGTTATAAAAACATATACTACAGATTTATATAAACATTTGTAGATTTAATAATGTAGTGTTTAACTAATATTCTTTCTATAGATTTGTATAGGTGAAATATTTGTTTAAGTACTATATCAAGTCCCAATAAGTGGAAAATAATATGGTTTTATAAACCAGGTGTAGCCCACTGTTGGAATTTAAAACTTATTAGAACTAAAAATATATGTGTTGAAGTAACTTTGTGATTAGTTAACTAATGCAACTCTATTTAAGTGTAACAGTTTATTAGATTAATAGCTATAAAGATTAATAAGTTTGATAAATGTGGTGTTTTATTTTTAAATCTTTAAAAAAGAGATAAATAATAACAGAAAAAATCTAATACCTGTAATTGTATCTCAACACTTTTATTTGTTGTATATATAAGAAATTTATCATTAGTAACTAAAGCAAGCTTAGGAAGCTAATATGTTTAGTAGAGTTAAAACCATTGAAGTAATTACTTAACTATATCAGCAAAAAATAAAAAGTATGTTGAGTTGAATGATTTGATTTTGAGTTTGTTCTTACAGGCTATCGGTATTACACTTATATGTCTTGTAATGTTAAAATACTTATTACAGGTTGTATATGTTGGGGAGATTGTGATGGACCGGCTAATTCATCAGCTGTTGGCCGCTGTCTAGCAACACCAGCTGGGGTATTCACTGTTGAAGGTGTCTGGGATATAGCTGAAGTTGAAGGTAGTGTAGGTCTAACGATATTACCTATATCGGAAGATGGCTATTGAAAACAAAATAAGTATTAGTAATAGCTTAGGTAGTAATTACTTGATTACATCCGTAAAAAAATGTCGAGTTAATTAAATTGATTTTGTTAAAATACTATAATAATTTGTACTTGTTTCTACATGTATGTTTTATTAAACAGAACCTTACTGTTGAGCATAAAAGAATATTAAATATGTAGTAGTATTGGATGTTTATAATAAATGTGGAACAAACGATAATTTATCTATCTGATGTTAAAAACAGCTAAAAGAGGGCTTAACTTTATCATTAAAAGCTACTAAATATAGTAGCTTCGACTTGAAGGTGGTTGATAATTATCTAACTTCTTTGGTAATTATCTAACTACATCAGTAAAAATAAAAAAATGTCGAGTTAATTAAATTGATTTTGAGTTTGTTCTTACAGGCTATTAGTATTACACTTATATGTCTTGTAATGTTAAAATACTTACTACAGGTTGTACTCGTCTGGAAGGGTGGGATGGTCCAGCTAATTCAGCAGTCATTGCTCGCCGCATTGCAACATTAGCTCGTGTATTAGACGACGACCTATCTACAGATAACCATACTCCATCTGTTGAAGATGCCTGGGATACAGCTGAAGCTGGAGGTATTGAATGAGGTGTAATAGGAGGCACTAATAATGTAGGTCTAACAACAGAAACTATTGTTGGTGAGAGCTGTTGAAAATAAAATTAGTATTAGTAATAGGCGGGGTGTTATTAAAATAATATTAAATTGTTCAGGTAATGCTACCTACATGTTCTGATGAAAACATTCGTAGAAAACTTGAAGGTTCTAGTATTATCATATTTGTAATTTCTTCATGTGGAAATCCAGAAATAGGGATTGAAGCTGAAGGGATGTTTGTTAGGTCCCTCTCATAAAACACACCATCTCTCTGAAACAAATAGTTTAAAATGTAAATAGGTATAAGATTCTCTTAAACTATAAAAATCTTTTTTGTCTCTATATAACTCACCATAAGAATTCGTAGAACACAGGTAACATCGTTAATCCTTGAAGTTATATAATAATCCTCAACTAACAGCTCCTGCAAAGCTGTTGTATAAAGCTCGCTTACACACCTCTCAGCATAATCTTGGTCTACTTGCCGGAAGTTGGTGGGTATAGCAAGTCTAGCTATAACTTCTTCCTGAAACACAATCTTAGCTAAATAATGATATACAGTATAAACATATATAATATAAATTATATTTTAATATTGTTTTAAAAATATTTAAAATGTATTTTACCGAAAAATGTGAAGAACTATCCCTCTTGTGTGTACGAACCAAAGGCCAAAGTTATTTGATCTGTTAATCTGAAACATAAAATGGTTATAATATAATCCTAGTAAATATTTTTTGTATTGTTTTTGCTTGTATATTTTTGGACTTTTTAAATACTTCTTTTAAAATATTTCTTACTGAGTCTCCACGGGGTAAAAGCACTCGTTCTGTATTTAGCCGCCTACGTCTAGTGGGTGGTGGTGAAGAACTCTCAGATATCTGTAAAAATAAAGCTTATTAAAAATAGAATAATAATAACTAACTGTTAGTTTAACTATTATTGAAATCAACTCATCTGTTGGTTGCTAGACTTTTTTTAAAATTACAACCTTAAACTAAAATTAAAGTTTTAATATTTTTTATCATAAAACTCTGTTACATACCTAGGATTATTTAATATCTAAGATATGTATTATATAAGGAAAACTATAACTTACATTATTTATAGCTCTTCTTTGTTCATTTTGTCTACTCTGTAAATAGAAGAAAATAATATTATTACCCTATTTGAACTAGTAATATTATATAACTCTAAAAGAATTTTTTGTCAAAACATTTTGTTGGTTAGGAATATCTGTGTAGTCTAAATATATACACCTGTGTGTTTAATCATGCTTAACATTATATGTTGTAGCTTTCTGAAATTATAAGGCTCTCTTATAAATAAAAATTAAATCACAAACTATGATCAAGTATATATATAGTATAGTTGAGATAAATAGAACTTGTTTGAAATGTAGAACTTTGTGATTGGTTTGTAATAGAAAAAAAGCTATTAAAATAAGTAGAATTTAAAATCTTGTTTAACAAACTCTAACTAATTCTAATCTATAAATATACTTACAGCCGATCTTAGAATATCACGATCATCTTGAAAGAAGGAATCTCTTGAACTCTGACTTGGTGGAACTACAGATCCAGGGCTTGAAGGTGGTGAATCTATGATGCTTGAATTTGGGCTTGATGGTGAACTAGCTGGTGAGTTGTTTTGTATAGGAGCTACTAAATAGTTATCGATGTGATCATTTATGTGTATCCAGTTTGTATTAGCTGTAAAACGCCTTGTTGTTGTTTGCCAAGCCCAAATAGGGTTGTCTTGAAGTGTATACATTCTGATCAATTGCCAATTATATCCATCAATGTTTTCATGTATGATAACTATACAATTAGAGGGACCTGCTCCTTGTATTTGTATTTCATGTATTAGTTGTTGCGCTGTTTGCTAAAAAAACAAATAATTAAATTATATAGCTGATTAAAATATAAACAATAATCTAGAAACTTTTAAAACAGCTAGAGCAGAGCCTAAGAGTATAAGACTAGTTTGCAACATATTATTTATATAGATTATAAATATGTTTGTTGCTTAAATTATAAATACTAATAACTTTTAAAGAGTTAACTTAATCACCTCACTATAGTCATCAAAACTAAAAACAAATTCTTAAAGCTCTTGTGTAATTGATTACTGTGTAAAATCTGTCTAAATAAAAGGTTTAGTAAAATATATTTGATTTAGAGTAAAGTTTAAGATATGAGAGGTGACAAAAATACTTAATCTTGATATATTGTAAAAATCTAATTATATATATTCAAGTTATATAGCTTACCCAGGTAATTGGATAAAAGTTGCTTAATACATGTGGCGGGGAGCGAGGCGGTAAAAGCGGGTTAGCTTCTAAAATGAGAAGATGGCCAAGATCGTTTTGAAAAAAACTATCTGTCTCCATAGCAACAAATGGCTGAAAACATAAGTAGAATTAAAAACCTAATAAGTTGAATTAAACACTTAGATAAGTAGAAGTTTATCTATATAAAGCTTCTACTTACAACAAGAACAGAAGATTCAGCCTCTCTTAACATATCTCTTAAGTGTGAGTTAAGGACAATCCTTTTTGATATAGGTGCTTGCCGAACATTAGGTCTTGCAAGCAGTTGACGTTCTTCATTAAGAGTTATAGATGCACCATTTCTCTATAAAAAACATATTATGATTAATAAAAAATACTTTTTAAAAGAGACACATTATATAAATAAAATTAGAGTTTTGTCTGTATATTGGATAAAATTATAAACTTTTTATCTTTTGGTTTTTTGATTTCTGATAACTAGGAAAAAGACTTTGAAATAGTGTTGTATATAGGTGGGAAATTATATTTTTAAATAAGCATTTTTAGTCAAGATTTAGTATATAATTGATAGATAAAACTGATAGTAAAAATAAAAATAGGCCTATTATGTTTTATTTGTCACCACTGGTGGTTTAATTTTGTTAAAGTGCATCTCATGTGATAGGATATATTAGAGTTAACTAGTAGATACAGATAATTAATCCTTTTATTGATTATTATATTGGTTTAAAACAAACAACATAAATTAAGTTATATATAATAGTTAGCATATCTAAAAATACATAAACCAACTGTTTTATAAGGTTTTAACTAAATACTATAAAAGTTTTATATTACACAGCTAGTGATTATATATTTTTAAATAAAACCTACCATTAATCGAAGTAAAGTCCAGACAAGATTAGGATATTCTTGTGATGACTCTATGATATGGACTCCAGTTTGTTCGGGAGGGTTACTTATTGACCACATATCTCGAATCCTATTTTGAGCATATTCCTAAAAAACCATACATATATAGATTAAAAATAAAGAATTAGACAAACTACTTCTACTACTATTAGAGGTACTTAAACTACATAGAGACCTACATACCTCAGAAATTGTCCAGAAGCCCGTAGGTATAGGTGGTACACAATAGAAGAAAATTGGTAAATTTATTAAATATATTTTCACTTAGGTGACACAGGTTTAAGTTTATAGTAGGATCATTATTTTATATAACCATATAAAAACATATATAATGTCTAAAGTTTAAATATCACAAATATTTTTAGGTATCCACTTTTATTTTAGGGTCCACTAAATCCCTACACAATTTCAAGTAATAAACATACTAAATATCTTAATATAATTAAACCTCTTTTTAGATCTGTTGGTGAAGGTTTGAGGCAAGTGACTGGTAATAAAATAGACTATATTTATTGGGATGATCCTAATGAGCTTGTAGATAGGTTAAGACTTCTTTGGCTAAGTCGCCAAGCCGGTAACTCAGGAGTGGATAATGAAATAGATTCCATTATTGAGGAATTGAAAGAAAGTGGAATTATTTATTAAATAAAAATATGTTTATAGATAAATTTTATCGTTTATATAATCCATATAATAAGCCTGCAGAACCTAGGGCGGCAACCATGAGTAATGAACCTACTTTAAATTTAAAAGACGATAGTTGGAATTGTTTAAACCGTAAAATTGGTAATGTTAAAGATGGTGAGTTTGTAGATGATGTATCAACTTTGGGGCAGACATTAACTAGAAAAGGTGATGTCTTTTTACAAGGTAAAACTAAATATGAGTTTTTAGAATCTAAGAATAAATATTGGAATGCTAAAAAACAGAAAATTACTAATGTGGAAAAGGGTGAAAGTTTAGATGATGTGCCCACTTTACAACAGACTTTAATACGTAAAGACGGTGGTACATTTGTACAAGACAATAATAATTATGAATTTTTAGAATCAGAGAATGGTATTTGGAATGCTAAGAAACGGAAAATTACTAATGTAGAAAAGGGTAAAAGT